GCAAGTAAACGCCATGTATTGTTTGCATCGGGTTGTCATGAACGTTTGATGGAGCACATTGATCTCAAATTGATCTAATGAAATTATACTGCAAAAAAAATTAATGTAAGAACATGAATCTAAATATTAAGAAAAAATAAAAGATGTTACCGATCCAGATGAATATGCTCCGTCGGGAGATATGTACTTTCTTGTCCTTTGTAGGTACCACTGCATGTACTGTGAGTAGTGATGCAAAAGTTGTACACTGGGCAAACCATTCATAACATAGTATTCCCGATGATTCCATATTTGGATCCATTGATCATGCTTTTGTTGCCAGTTGTAGTCATTCTTCCCTCGAAGATCCATTTTGTGTTGTTTTTGCACGTTGATTGGATCCTGAGGGATTGGTTGTTGTAAACTAAATTGTGTCATAACTCGATCAGCATCATGCCACTCTACTATTGCAAAACATATAAGTGGCACGCGTGATCGAGCCATATCTGGTATCTGACCCATAAAGTCGAAATTTTGATATGGGGTCCAGACAAACTAATCAATATATAAAGATAAGTTAGAAAATATTTAAATAAATAAATAATATTAGAATAAAAAGTATTAGTAAAATATAATGTGACTACCTGATCTATACGCAAGCGATCCAACATTGATCGTATTATGTTGGTTGCATGACCAAGAATATTTGTCGTGACTAAATGTTGGGACCACCTATTCATGTAATAATAAAAAAATGTAATTATAAATTAAATTTAATAATAAAATAAATGTAATTAAATGAATGTAATAGAAAAATAAATTTACCTTCTAACTAATGGAAATAGGAATGTGGTGGGGACGTTCAATCTTGGTGCAAGCATTGGGATGCGGTCGTACGCCCACGACTGTAATAATAACAAACATCCACCAATTTCAATTTGACGGCTAATCAAGGCTGCACGACAAAGACCTCGATAAAGACACGCCAAAACCGCAGATCCCCAACTATATTGGTAGGTTTCAGATAAATCCTCTAACAATAGGAGATACATCAAGTGGACTCGTGACCCTGATGTATTCGACATTAGAAATCCACCAATCATCCTCAGATGAATGCACGTGCATGTTGATTGATTACAATCTCAGTAGCATCGTCTGAGAGTTGTTGAAATGTGGAGTCCAAGCAACTCATTTGAATCTGTTGTCCAACAATTTGTCTTTCATTTGGAACCGCACCCAACAAGTTATGACAGACAACATTCCAATCCATGTTTGTTGGTCCAGTGACAACATCCCCATCAATGGGCAATCCGAGTTGATAAGCCACATCCTCTAGAGTAACCGTGCATTCTCCAATGGGTAAGTGGAAAGTGTGCATCTCCGACCTCCAGCGCTCAACCAAAGCAGTAATCAGATGGTTGTTGATTTCAACACTTCCAATGTCTAAGATCTTCCCAAATGCGGTGTTACGAATGACTTGTAACACCGGTTCAGCATGTACTTGTGGCCATAAGTTATACCTAGCCCTAAAGGTAACCTCTCCGCCATTCCATATGGTTGTGGAAACATGATCATCTTGAAGATTAAGTAGGAAAGGAATGATAGGGCCGGGAACAATGTGATCCATATTTTGGAAGAAATTTGGAGTAATTCGGTTTATAAGAATTCGGTTTTAGGGAAGAATTGTGGAAGAATTTTGGAGTGATTCGGTCAAGGGGAAGGGTTTCTATTTATAAAGTTGAATGTCGTGGACCGGGTCCACGACTTTCTAGGTTTCTGTGCCCTAATCTACATTGAAGTCGTAGCTGTTACCTAGCCTGCGCAAAAGTCGTGGATCCCATCCATGACATCCGTTCAGTTTCAGACGGTTCAGGCGGCTGATGCAAGAATCGAAGAGGTATATTAATTATATATAATAATTATATTATTTATTTATTTTAATTATATTATTTATTTTAATTATATTATTTATATTATGTATATTATTTATTTTAATTATATTAACTATAATTATTTTTAATGACGTTGAAGTCGCAGAGTCTTGTGCCAATGTCGTGGACCCCGTCCATGACTTCTGTACGGAACCCTAAGTTTCAGGTGGTTGACGTTGAAGTCGCAAAACCCCGCTCGAACATCGTGGACCCTGTCCACGACATTCGTACGAAACCTTTCAGTTTCAGGAGGCTGAGGGCAAAAAAAAGGAGTATTAATTATTTTATTAATTATTACCATTAATTATTACTATTAATTATTACTACTAATTTTTACTATTAATTTTTACTACTAAAAATACTTGAACTAATAAAATTAAAATACTTCATTCACTAAAAATATATTACATCATAGTTTAATGTCTTGAACTTTCACCTATTTCACTATTTTTGAATGGACATGTCTTCCTATTGTGCCCTTCAGTTCTACACAAGCCACATTTTTTATTTTTTTCCGTTGCACAATCGTCCATCTCGTTGTGAATGCGTGATGTTTTCGGTCTTCCAGTTCGACTTCTTCGCATAAGTGGATTAGGAATGAACATTGGACCAGAATAATCAGGCCAATATTCTTCATTACCAATCGGTTCAAACTCACGTCCATACACCTTCAATAAGTTATCCAACCGATATATTGGTGAAATGAATTGGCGGTAATCTAAATTCAATGATGAACATGTGGCAATGACATGAGAGTCTGACAATCTAAGTAATTGAAATTCTCCACATTCACACCAGTATTGGTTTAGTCTTACTGTGTATACCTTCGAATGTCGACTACCGTCTCTACCAGGAACCTCAACCACAAAGACTCCCGACTCCCTTGAAAAACTCAGAATTGTTTAACATGTGGCTTTACGGTTATTTTCATTTAACACCCTAGTCAATTCCTCACAATATATATGACCTGTCATTATCATACTTGTTGCTTCATTTCTATGGTGAAGAAACCATGAATTCAGTCTATGATATGTTGCTTGTACAAGGGAAGTGATAGGCAAAGCTCTTGATCCTTTCAAAACACCATCAACACACTCTGTTAGGTTAGTCGTCATATGCTCATAATGTCTCCCTTCATCATATGATTGTGTCCATTTTTCTTTTGGGATGCTGTCTAACCAAGCTGCTGCTCTTGGATTTTTTTGACGCAAATCATCAAGCATACGCTCAAAACGGGGCTGCATCAACTCATATCCTACAACATATACATCAAATTTAACATTAACTACATAATATGACATAATATAAATAACTTTAAGGTCAAATTTAACATTAACTACATACCCATTTGAATAACTTTTTTTCTTTAAGGTCACCATCTTTGAACTCTTTATTGAAATTGCTTGTAACATGACGAATACAATATACTGAATGTGCATTACACCATTGAGGAAGCTCAGTACGAAGTGCACCTAACAAACTTGTACCTCTATCTGATATTATATATATATTCGGTTGTGGGGTAACATACATATGAACATTGTAGAAAAACAACTCCCATGCTGCTTTAGTTTCTCCTTCGACAATGGCAAATGCAACATGAAATATTCGTCTATTACCATCTTGCGAAATTGCAATTAACAAAGTTCCAGTATATTTTCCGGTCAAGAATGTCCCATCCACTTGAAGGATCGTTTTTCAAAATCCAAACCCTTCAATACAAGGCTTGAAAGCCCAAAAAACTCTGTCAAGAATTAAACTACTACTGTCATCATGACGAGATGCTGCGTATCTTACAATTGTACCAGGTGCATAACACTGGACATTGTTAAACCAACGAGGTAACTCCTTGTAAGATCCCTCCCAATCACCATAAATTTGTGACATAGCAATTTGTTTAGCTGTCCAAGCCTTTCTATACGTTACTGTATAACCAAAACGAGTGATAATTTCTTTTACTAATGCTTTAACTGGTATACCGGGATCTTCTGATACTAAGTGAATAATACAATTTGCAATGAATGATGAATTTAATTTCATGTGATCTTGAGAAATACTAGTGGATACACATGTGTGTGTTTCATTAATTTTTCTAATCTCCCATAAATCTCGCTTTCCATTAAGTGATGCCCTAATTCTCCATTGACATCCACTACCAAAATATTTACACTGTCCGACATATCTATCCGGTCTAGACTCTACAACAATGTAGTCAACAAAATTCTTAATATGAAACTGTTTTATAACATTTATTGTTGCATCCTTTGATTCAAATTGCATGCCAATAAACAGTTCATTATCAAAATCATTACTTAAATTATTTTTCTATTTTGAATATCTTGTCCAGCAGCTAAATCAATGGTAACGAAAAATGATGAAGGAGTACCGCATGCTATGTTAGCTACTTCATTACTACCAAGCTCCAAATCTTCATCATCATCACAACATAGCTCAATGTCTTTATCATCATTAAATTCGTTGACAATATCTCTAATAATCACCATCTACATATGAGTATAAACAAAGTATAAGATAAAAACATGGATACAAAAAATGTTGAAGAAAACTAGAAAATGTGCAAAGATACATACCTTAATGAATCTGTGAATATAGTCTCGGATGATGGAGATATATATATGAAGGGATGTCGCATTCTAACAATGGGACACCAATCTCGCATGCCACAAATGTGACTTACCCCCCATGAATCTCGCATACGAGGAATGTGACTCCTGTCAGTTTGTCGCATGCTTGGAATGTGACAAACAGATTGTCTTGGTCCCCATCCACGACAATCAAAAAGTTACACCATTTTCGTAATTAATTTTTTCACTACACTAAAGCTGACATAGTGTAGTCAAACTACATCATGCCAGTAAATTTTCCTAAAAAATTTATAGGATAGAGAGTTTGAGAATATGCACAAAGTTGTAGCTAAAAGGGAATATGGGACAACTAGAAGGCAGTGAAATGAGTGAACCTGATGATAGTCCAAGTACACAATTAATGAAACCAAACAAACAAATTCACGGTTCAAAATGAAACCAAATCCTTTTGCAATTTGGGCAGCAAGAATGTCAGTGAGGCCAATGAACCTGACATTATAATTTAATAGGGTAGAGGGTACTCAGTTCATTTTTTTGAATCCAAAGAATAAAAACTCTCATTATCCTTTGTCATGATACCTAGAAAGGGACACATCAACCCTAATATACGTGCAGGTAATCATCATTTATTTTCACTGCCTCTGATTCATGCCTTTTATTACATTTTATTTTACTTCCCTCTCATTTTTCATTGCTTAATGGTCCATGCTAAGTCCTTGTAACACTGCAGGCCAGTTTTCTTTATATATATCTGCACTCTCTCTTACATTTCATGGCACTACTCAAAGTGAAGGTGAAATCTGAAAGACTCTCTATCTAGTTCTTCATTATCCCTGTGCTCTTTGTCATGGCACTTCAAGTTGAAGGTTACAAGATTGAAGAACAAATCGAAGTGTGGTAAATGTTATGGCGATATCTCTCCTGAGCTTATTCTTCTTACATTCTTCTTTTATCTTTTTTAACTTTATGAATAATGTTTAAGTTTTCTTGACCTTGCAAGTCCAAAACTTTAATAATCAAGGGTCAATATTACTTAACATGTCTAAAGAAAGAAGATAACATGTAATAGTTTTGTTAAACTACTTAAGAAGCTAAATATCATGTACTATCCTTCCTCTAGAGCTTCATAGTTTATTTACATCTAATGTGTCATTGGTAAAAGAAATGTATTCAGGTTTTCAAAGCTTGATGCTCCTACTGTATGCAATGGATTATGCCTTATGAATTTGTTTCTTTTAGAAGCCTTACAAATATATATTTTTAATCATTTTATCCTTAACTCGGATTGAATATGATGTCTGCTAGAAGGAGAGGGTGCATTACCACCATTCACTGTGAACTAACTCACTGAAGTTTATTATTCTCACTGATTTTGAGGTACTGCGTTGAGAGCTGCTACTCTTGTTAATATATCAATGATTTTTTGAAAAAGAAAAAATTGTATTAAAACGAGTATGCACCCAATACAAAAGAGATCAAGAAATCAACTGTATAGAACATAGTGTTATAAAAAGTTTTGGAGGAAGAGAGAACCGTGATTTATTGGAGTAGCCGAGTAATAAAAAAGGAAGATTTTGACTATGAACTTCACAGATGTGCTGAGAGTTTTTGCTACTTGCAACATCCCACTAATTTTGGAGACTTCAGATCCTCTACTATCAGATAGAAATGAGGACATGTGAAATAAATAAGCTGGAATAAGCTGATTTCTGTAAAGTCGGAAATAGATTTTCTGTGGTGTCTAGGAGTTAGCTTATAATCTCTTTTCAAGCATTTAAAACAAAATTTCGTGAAGTAATTCTTATGGGTTGACTTCTATCCATCCATTTTAATTCAAAGAATGTCACTAGTTAAGCATTTAGCCAACAACTTGCTCATTGTAATGCTTTCACTGGTTATAGCTTATAATCTCTCATTGTAATGCTTTTTGGGAAGTCTGTATTACCTACTATGCTTGTTGTGTGTCTAAGTTGTTATTATTGTGTCTCATGTCCAGAATCTTCAGGCTTATGCTTTGTTTTAGTTATGCATTTGCTTGGAACTATATTTTTAATTTAAGTTTATGCAGTGTGACTCTTTTCCTATGTGTAGAGTACATTTTAAATTTAAGTTCCAAGTGAACATATTTGTTGTTTTTGTTCAATTTGTGCTTCTAGATTTTTTTTTTTGATAAGTGAACTTTTTTATTAAAGAGAAACTAAAATACAATCACTAAAATTAATATACAATAGAAGAACGAATGTTCTTCTGGAATTAGTGTCGTAAATTTTACTATCAAGTGACATGACATGAATTCAATGTCAAATTTGCTTTGAACTTTATAGGTTATTCATTTAGATATGGCACTTTGTTATTTTGATAAGTCATGGGTTAACCTCACGCTTTTAAGTATTTTGATAAGTCATGGGTTAACCTCATTGCAACCACACAGTCCATTTCAATCACACCAAACCAAACCAAACCATAAATATAAAAATTCATTTTAATTGTTGGAATTGAAGCTAAGATTGAGCAAGGATAATAACAACACCAACAATAGCTGCATCAACAACTAAAGGCATAGATAGCAACATTCAACAACACTTTAATTAATTGCTTCTCAATATTAATTTGAATTTGAATTTGAAGATAGAAATGCTATAGAGAACTTGAATTTGTACAAGGCTTTAGTCTTTGAAATCATCTTAGTTCAAACACAGAATTAAAGAAAACCAGATTTAGCTATGTTGAGACTCAACATTTTTGTAGCTAAAATATCATAAACAAGAAGGGAAATGAGTGATTAAAATCATAGAAACTAGATTCGCTCGTTTGGTAGGGAATCGTGCATTGGTTCACACTGCTTTTGCAAACCAATACTTCTTGATTCGCATATTGATACTCAACCCTAATAAATACATCATCTTCTTCATCCATAGGCTTCAAGCTATCATAGCTCCACTCTTGCATCTCCAACCACATATGATAACAAGGCCGATAACCCTAGCAAAAACATAAACATAAATGGGAAAGAGAAAAAATGACTCAACAAAGGGGAGATGGAGAAAAGAAACCCTAAAAGCTAAACGAGTCTCTTTATTAAATGAGCTTGTTTATTTATGTATTTCAATAAAAGTAAATGTGCTTATTTATTAAGTTAATTATCTTTAAAAAATTAAAATTTGCCAAGTGTCCATTTATGGAAAAAAATGCACCAACTAAAATGTGTCACAAAATTAGCTATCATATTCAACTGAGTATGCTCAATAACATACCATGTATTTGATAGATAACATATTATGCTCAATAACATACCATGTATTTGATAGATAACATATTATGCTCAATAACATACCATGTATTTGATAGATAACATATTATGTACCATACATCAAAGGGTATCTACAATTATGATTTAATAATTTTATATGAGATAACATATTATGTACCATACATCAAAGGGTATCTACAATTATGATTTAATAATTTTATATGAAATGACAAATATACCTTTCAATTTTCTTTCTCTAATTGTTGGTTTTAACAACTAGTAACATACATAAGTAACTCTTTTAGATATAAAAAATGTTAATAAAAAACAATTGAAAATATAATAAAATTTACAATTTAAAATTATAACCTTTATTTTTAATTCATAATAAAACATTTTTGCCACTGTTTTATTTATTTATGAGTATTCCAGTCTTTTGAAGTATAACATCATCTTTCTATTATCACTTTCTATCTAACCAAACAAAAGAGTATGAGGAGAAAATATGTCTTTCTCTTCGTTTTCTTTCATTCTTCTCTTATACCAAACATTACAAAAATACTATATTTTTCTTCTTTCTCTTTCTCCTTAGTCGTTTTCTCATCTATTTCTCTCTTCTTATTTTCTTTTTGCAACCAAATGAATAATTAAATATTTTGACCCGCCATTTTTATTTAATAATTAAATATTTAAATAGAATTAAACTATATTTATATAAAATTTTAAATATTGACAAATATTAAATAGTTGAATGAAATATAATAAATATAATTGTCTTAGATTCTTTTAACTAATAAAAACCATTTTTTTTATAAGTGATATGTTTTTTTAAAGTAATAATAATAAACAATTAATTGATAATTATGTTATAACTTAATTAAATATTTTATTTTTTACTTATTGTAATTATTTATTTTTAATCAAATTATGTTAATGGAATTTAAATAGTTTGATCTATTGACACTTATAGTCTCTTTCTTTCTTTTCAAATATGAAAATTGGTTTATGACTAGTATTGTCTCGTTGCTATCAATTTCATTTTTCTCTTAAATAAATTATTTATAAGTATTTTAAACAAAATATTTTAATAGAATTTAAATAGTTCGGTCTATGACTCATGTTGTTTCTTACTTTCTGCTCAAAGTGGAATGTTGGTTCTACGATCAATGTTGTCTCTTTATAATTAATTTCATTTTTAAAACATTATTTTTAAATATCTTCTTTAAATTTTTAATTATTATCATGAAATTGAATAGCCCAACCTACAAGTTATGCACTCTATTCATTAATGATTAAAGGAGAAAGCCGGTCTACGATCAATATCATCTCAATTATGTTTTTATCTTAAATAAATTATTTATAATAAGTTTTAAAAACATTTTCGTAATGAAATTTGAATAGTTTGATTGTTTGCTATTAGTTCCATTTTATCAAATTAAATTCATCATATTTAAATTAACTTTAACTCAGAACTACGTAACATTGATTTCTCTATTGTATATATGAATATTTCGTTTTAGTAATTACTTTTTAATATAATAAATTAAGGGTATAATAAAGTTCATGTAATTAGTGATGATAACGTTTTAATACATGCAGACGAAATGCTAATTATATCGTTGATATGTAATCTATCTTAGAGCTCATAGCTTTTGTTCAAATCACATACTATTAAAGTTTTCTATGCTTTAATTATAAATAATGTAGTGGCATCTCCAAATAGAAAACTAAAATTGAGTTCCTCATCTACATAAATCACACAATCAGTCTTCAAACAAAAATTGGATCACAATAACGAGTATTTGTTAATTAATTTTTACACCATCAGTTTGAAAAAGTAGAAATTGAAATTCTGATTGATTACTCTAACTAGAAATTGAAATTCTGATTAATTACTCTAACTACCACTCTCATACAATTTCAATGATTAACACCAAGGTAATAATGTATTACCAGAATAGAGAAATCATAAAATTGTGGTTATATTTTGTTGATAATGCAAATCAACATTTTAATCATCATTTGTGTGATTCCTTTAACTAGTTTTAGGTGAGTACAATACACAAGTCTGTTAATTATCTTTAATAATATTATTTTTTGCCGACCAAAAAAAAAAATACACAAGTCTGTAAGTTTTTATCATTTAATTTCTAATATTTTTAAAATACACAATTGACATATTGATAATAAATAATAAATTTTATTTTAAACAAATATAATATTATTTTTTCATAGAAACCAATTTTTAATTTTAAAAGTTATTTATTTTAGGAGAAATAATTTAAATTTAAGTAACAAGAATATAAAATATTACCTTTATGGTCAAAATTTATATTAATTGCTCATTATCCTAATTTCTATTTTTGTTTTTAAAGATAGAAGATATACCTGTCAAAACGGGCTACCCGGATGGGTTCGGGCTAGCCCGCTTTTGATTCGGGCTAAAACGGGTAGGGCTAAAAAGCCCGGTTATATTTTATGTTGCTAAAAATGAGGCCCAAACCCGCCCAAAGCGGGCTGCGGCGGGCCGACCCGGATTATTTTATTATTTACACCAATGCAAAAAACTGATGCTTTTAATATGTTGTAATCGATTACGAGTATATTGTAATCGATTACAACATATTAAAAGCATCAGTTTTGCTGTTTTTTAAACAGTGTAATCGATTACCAGAATTGTGTAATCGATTACACTGTGTGAAAAACAGCAAAACTGATGCTTTTAAAGTATTGTAATCGATTGCAAGTATATTGTAATCGATTACGAGTATATTGTAATCGATTACATCATGTAAAATGCACAGGTCTGATTTGTTTATCAGCATGTAATCGATTACCAGGATTGTGTAATCGATTACACTGTTTAAAAAACAGCAAAAACTAATGCTTTTCATATGTTGTAATCGATTACGAATATATCGTAATCGATTACATCATGTAGAAAATGAGTAGACAATGGTCCGAACCCGAACGGGTAAGCCCGGCCCGAGCCCGAATTTATTGTGGCCCAGACGGGCCGGACTAAAAAGTCCGGTTTAACTAAAATACTCAAACTTTAGTACCCAAGCCCTATACTTTTTCGGGCCTTGGCGGGCCGGCCCGCTATACCCGGTCATTTTGACAGGTGTAATAGAAGAGGTAACATAGATATCCTCTAAGAATGAATAGGAACTTTGATAATTCTCTAACTTTGTTCTAAAAGAGAAAAATATTATTCTGAGAAAAAAATACAAAATTATATAATAAAGTGATTGGTTTATACAAAAATTTAGTTCTTCTATAACTAATAATCAAATTGCTGCATATTTTGAAAATAAAAAAGTGACTTCATTTCTCACATAAATTCAATTCGTACTCATTAATATATTATGGACCTATGATAATGTTTGACAAAATACACAACCCCATTCATCGTATTGATCCTTGGATGGCATATTAACACATGACATTAATTTTTATAACCGTCCATATCAGTGTTAGTAATACCGTACTGGTCATCAAATCGATAGAGGTATTGGTACAGTGATAAAGTGGTTTAACCGATGGTTCATTAATTAAACTGCATACCGATAAAGTTAGATATACATATATAATATATTAACATTAATGTTGAAAACTCAATAAAAAACAATTATTATTTTTATTTTCATTAAAAAAAATTAAATAAAAATCGACCGGTATGACCGGTACGGTTCAATTGAAAACCGGCTGATATGACCGGTTTTTACCAATTTTGGCCGGTTTTTACCGGTATAATTGCATGCCCGGTATAATTATTGTATCATACTGATATTAGGATTGGTTCAACAGCCAA